AGGTCTGCTCCCAGCTGCCCCTCCTTCTTCTCTAGTTCGGGGTCCCCGACAGGGCGAGGTGTTAGACGTGGTGGTGGCGGCAACTTGGGGTCAGGCGTGTGGCTCACCTCTGTCCCTCCCCCACCACCGCATGCTCCCTGGCCAGGGGTCACTCCTGAGCACGGAGCCAGGAAGAGTCCCTGAGTACTGTGGGGTGTGGCCCTTAAACTCCCTTCTCTGTCCCCCTACAGACAAGTGCTATCTCATCGAGGAGCTTGAAGACCAAGACAGGACCTGTGCAGGCAGGCCCAGAGTGGAGCTGAGCTGGGGGCCTGAGGGGAGGCAGGAGCACCCTGCTCTAGGGGGGGACCCCAAACCCCACTTCTCTCTGTGGAGGGGCTCCAGGCCCTCACTCAGATGCGGGTGAGGGCTGTGAGCTGGACGCCCAGGGCACCTGCTGGCCAGGGGCAGGACACAGACCTCAAGGGATCATGTCATAATAAAAATTAAAAAGAGAAAGGTAGGGGCTGGAGAGATAGCACAGCGGGGAGGGCGTTTGCCTTGCATGCAGCCGACCCGGGTTCGATTCCCAGCGTCCCATAGGGTCCCCTGAGCACCGCCAGGAGTAACTCCTGAGTGCAGAGCCAGGAAGAACCCCCGTGCATCACCAGGTGTGACCCAAAAAGCAAAAAAACAAAAAATGAGGTGAGAGGGGCTGGAATGATAGCACAGCGGGGAGGGCGTTTGCCTCGCACGCGGCCGACCCGGGTTCGATTCCCAGCGTCCCATAGGGTCCCCTGAGCACCGCCAGGAGTAACTCCTGAGTACAGAGCCAGGAGGAACCCCTGAGCATCGCTGGGTGTGACCCAAAAAGCAAAAAAAAAAAAATCAATTAAGGGTTGGGAGCAACAGACAGCACAGCGGGGAGGGCGTTTGCCTCGCACGCGGCTGACCCGGGTTCGATTCCCAGCATCCCATAGGGTCCCCTGAGCACCGCCAGGAGTAACTCCTGAGTACAGAGCCAGGAGGAACCCCTGTGCATCGCCAGGTGTGACCCAAAAAACAAACAAAAAAAAAGGGATCATGTCAATCCCACGGCCGACCCAAGTTCAAATCCTCCACCCCTCTCGGAGAGCCCAGCAAGCTACCGAGAGTATCTTGCCCACATGGCAGAGCCTGGCAAGCTCCCTGTGACATATTCGATGTGCCAAACACAATGGAGACGTTCCTGGACCCGCTCGAGCAAACTGATGAACAACGGGAGGACAGTGGCAGTCAATCTCGTGGTGCCTTGCTGGCACCTATGGGGACCACTCGCTTCTGTGGCCAGACAGAGTTCACCAGGCTCTGGCTCTGAACTAAACTCCCTCCTTCCACAGCCGGGAGGGTGCTGGCCTTGCACACGGCCGCCCCGCGTTCGATCCCCGGCACCCCATAAGGGTTTCCCTGAGCACTGCCAGGAGTGATCCCCGAGCACAGAGCCAGGAGTCAGCCCTGAGCATCACCAAGTATGTCCCCCTCCCGATCCCCCAAAATAGAGTTCTCAGTATATGTGGGCGGGGGGCGGGGAGGACACAGGTGAAAACGTGCAGGGATGGGGCCACGGCTCAAAGACAACTGGGCCAGTTGGCAGGACTGGGGGACCATCCCCCCCAACCAGGAAGAAAATGAAGGTGCAAGGGGACCATGGCGGGGGGCTGGGCGGGGAAAGGAGGAGAGATTGTCTGCTGGAGCAGCGGTGGAGGGGTTCGCTGGGCCGGCCGTGGTTGGCTGCCTTCCCAAGTTCAAGTTCATGCACGGGTCGCTTTCCTGGGGGCTGGGGGTGGTGTGGGTGCCCTAGGATGAAGCTGGCTTGCTGCAGCCCACAGCCCCCGGCACCTGGCCTCCCGGGGAGTGCCTCTCCTTGGCCCCTCCTGGGTGCTCTGTCCTCCGGGCCCTGCCTGGCCCGAGCCCCCCTCAGTCCGCTGCACGGGGCAGCGTCAGGGCCCATGTGATGGGCCAGGGAGATGCGGCATGTGGAGAATTAAATGAGATACTATGGGGATAAGACAGCGCTTGGCCCTGTCCTCTCCCTGTCAACCCTCCTGCCACTCCCTGCTCTGTTCTAAGGTCCAGAGGGTCGCTAGGGGCCGCTGGGAACACGGCCAGGGACCCCATCCTTGTCAGAGCCCCTGCCTCCATCCATTCTGAGTACGAGCACTGGACGGGTCCCCTGAATCGAGCAGCAAGAATCACATCTCCTGTTCCCCACCACAGTCAGGGCTGTGGGGGAGTAGGGACCCCCGTGAAGGAAGGAAGTACGGTTGACGCTCACACCCCCGTGGGAAGCCTTGTTTCCTTTCAAGAGAGCCCCCAACCACCCCCTCCCGTCATTTCTGGGGATCCTTCTGGCCCTGCGGGGTCAGCACCACAGTCGGTACCTGCGGCGGGGGAGGGGCAGGACATGAGAGTCCCCTCCGTGCCCCGCGACCTTCAGGACACTTCCCTGTCCCTCCTCCCAGCAGCAAAGCCCAAAAACAGACCTCGAGGCCTCCTGCACGCAGCATCCCTCCACCCTTCCACAGCCCTGGGTCTCCCCAGCAGACCCTCCCTCCCGTCCCCCTGCCCCATAACCAGCCTCCAGACAGCAGCCAACACCCCGACTCCATCCAGGCAGGGGCCCCCCGGGAACACAGACACAAGCCACTGCCTCCCCGCTGGCCGGGGCCTCGGGGTCCAGAAGGACGTTCAGCCCCCACCACCTCACCCACCTCCTGAGCTGCCCCTCGCCACAAAAAGACTGGGGCATGAATTCCCCGTCCCATTTTCCAGATGGGGAAGTCGAGGCTTTTCCTTCCCAGGCCCCTCCCGGCCCCAAATCTGGAGGTCTTTACAAAGGAACTGGTTCCTCGGGGGGGGGGGGGAGGGACGCAGGAGAACACTGGGGGCACTCTCTCCACCCCACGCCCCCGGGGGGGGGGCTTCTCCTCATTTTCCCAGCATTCCCGGTCACGTGACTTTGTGGGGGGGGCCCCCACCCGGGCCAAGCCACCTGCATGTCTTTCACCACCCGGAAGCCCAGGAGCACCCCCAGTTGGAACTGAGGATGTGAGGCTGAAGGAAGATGTACAGGGAGACCAGGGGTGTGTGTGTGTGTGTGTGTGTGTGTGTGTGTGTGTGTGTGTGTGTGTTAGGGGGACTCTCGCTCACCCCACTGCCCCCACCCGGACCCCGAGCACATTTATTTCTCCCTCTGGAAAGTGCTCCCAAAGGAGAGGGCTGCCTGCCTGGTCCAGCCAGCGACCCCCTGCTGGGGCGGGGTGGGGGGTGAGACCCCAGACCCCAGGCTAGGAGGGCTCCACCTGCCACCGCTACCAGACACTTCCTTTTGCAAAATGCAATGCCCAGGGGTGAAAGAGCGGGCAGGTGTTGTCGGGGGGCTGCCCCCACCTCCGGACAGCGCGCCCCCACCATGGTCTGCGGCGCCAGTGGGCGTGGAGGGGGTGTGGAGGTCGGTCCTGCTGGTCTGAACCCCCGGCCAGGAAGCTGGGCTGCATCAGGGATGCTTCTGAAGGACACCTCGGTGTCGGGGAGAGCAGGCGACCGTCCCTTCGGGGAAGGGGAAAGGGCAGAGACTGGCGGGGAAGCTGCCAGATTCCGGGTCACCCTCTGCCACCCTCCAGGGCCTCCGCAGGAAGTGGCCAGCTGGGGAAAGCCAGTGGGGCTGGACACTGGCTGGACACTGGGTCTGCCTGGGCTGGCACTGGCGTTGGGCGGGGGGTTGGGGGGGCGGTGCCCAGAGGCGGGTGGAAGCCTGGATGGGTGTGGGGTCGTCGGGGGCACCCGCTGGCTTGGGTCTGTGTGTGGGGATCCCCAGTGTGTGTGTGTGTGTGTGTGTGTGTGTGTGTGTCGGGGAAGGGGGTTACTCCAGGACTTGTGCAAAGGGGGCTGGACTGTCTGTCCGCAGGAGCTGTTGAGGTTAACGGGCATCCTGGTGTGAGAGCTGCTGGTTCCCAGGTGTGTGTGTGTGTGTGTGTGTGTGTGTGTGTGTGTGTGTGTCGGAGAAGGGGGTTACTTCAGGGCTTGTGCAAAAGGGGGCTGGACTGTCCGTCAGCAGGAGCTGTTGAGGGTTTTACGGGCATCCCAGTGTGAGTGAGAGCTGCTGGTTCCCAGGTGTGTGTGTGTGTGTGTGTGTGTGTGTGTGTGTGTGTGTGTGCACGCATGCACACGCGCACACAGACACCCCTGTCATAGGCACATCCATGGACAGGGGGCCGGAACATCTGTTGGAGGGTCCTGAACAGGAGGAGGTGGGGAGCTCTCCAGGGCTGGGGGTTCAGTGGGGGGATGCTCCTGGCCTGTGCTGGGGGACCCCCGAGAGTGGGTGTCCTTGCCCGGACCCCTCCGGTGGGAGCCGGGGCTGCAGGCTGAGGTCGGGCAGGGAGGGGAATCCTGATAAGCCCGTCCCGGGGAGTCAGACAGGATGGGGTGGGGTGGGGGGGTGGCCCTGAGGCTGCAGTCTTGGGTGCGGAGACACGGATGGGTGCCGCGATTGGGGTCCAAGGGAGGGACAGGGAGGGGGACCGGGGGTCTGCCAAGGGTCAGGATCCTGGAGAACGGGACTGGGGTGGGGATGTGCACACGGTGGGGGGGGGGGGTGCAGGTGTGCGGGGTGGGGGTTGGGGGGACCACGGGAAGGGTGTGTGTGTGTGGGTGGGGGGGTGGTCCTGAGGGTCAGGGGAGAGGCCGGGCCGGGGGTCCCGGGCCCCGGGGCGCCTCCTGGAGAGGGGGCGTGGTGGGGGAGGGGGCAGCCCCCCGGGAGGGGGGGCCCGGGAGGGGCCTCCCTCGAGCGATCGGGAGGCTGGGACGAGGCGGGTCTGCGTTGGCGGCGCTGAGGACCCCCCAGCGCGGGTTTCCGGGGCGAGGGGACCCCCGACTTGGCGTTTTTCTTTCCCCCCTTGCCCCCCGCGGGCCGCAGCGCGGCTGAGCAGGCGCCCGGGGCGGGGGGGGGGAGGCCCGGCCCCGCGCCGCCTCCCTCCTACCTGCGCCGAGCACGCCGCCATCGCCGTGCCTCGCCTGGCCGTCCCGGGCCGCGCCTCCGGACCCCCGTCGCGCCGCTCGCCCCGCAGCCCCGGCCCGGCCCCCTCAGCCGCCCCCCGGGACCGCGGCCGCCGCCGGCTCCGCCGCTGCCATTTCACCCGCTGACAGGAGCCGCGGCCCCGCCCCCGACGCCCTGTCGGCCAATGCGCCGCCCCCGGGCTCCCTGGCCCCGCCCCCCGCCCCGGAGCGACGGGGCGCCCAGCCAATCGGCGGGCAGCCCGTGGAGGGGGCCCTGGCTACAGCCAGCAGGTGCCCGCCTCCGTGGCGGGCAGCGAATCGAAAGGAAGGAAGCCGTGACGGACGGGGGCTTTCACCTATAGGAATGGAGAATCCCGGTTGAGGAGCATCTGGCAGGACCAATAGCGAGTGCAGAGGGGCGTGTTCCTGAGGGAAGGCTGCGGCCCTGAGGACCCATCGACAGAGAGAGACCGGAGTTGGGGAGTAAGCCCGCCCAGAACCGGGCTTCCTGCCCAATAAGGAGGCGTCCTGGGACGTCCATTATTATCGGACCCGCAGAGCTCAGCCATGGCAACTGTTGGTACTCTAGAAAGAAGATTGACACCTCACTGACCAATGGCGTTGAAGGAGGGCGGTGACGCGACATTCTGGCCAATGGGGCGGCGCGATGATTGTGCCGGTCTGCGGGGCTTGAGGCCTGGATTGAATGAAATAGGGGAGGGGCTGAGGGGTGGGCGTGGCTTAGGCGACGGCGGGGCGGGGCCAGGTGAGGGAGCGGCTCTAGGGAGGTGCCCGGAGTCTCTATGGCTAGTCTGGAGGTGCCGGGACCTTTTGCTGGCCTGCGCCCGCTCTTGCTGCAAATCTTGCTGCAAAAGCCGGGTTGTTGTCAGAAGGCAAACACCCCAGAACACAAACGCTCCTTCCCTGCCCTAGAGAAAGTATCTCCGAGGGCCAGATCCCTTCAAAGTTCTGATCAGTGTTAGCATAGCTTATTTTTTATTTTTGGGGGGTCACACCTGGCGATGCACAGGGGTTCCTCCTGGCTCTGCGCTCAGGAATTACCCCTGGCGGTGCTCAGGGGACCCTATGGGATGCTGGGAATCGAACCCAGGTCGGCCGCGTGCAAGGCAAACGCCCTGCCCGCTGTGCTATCTCTCCAGCCCCAAGCTTATACTGACCCATGGGGACTCCTTGTAAATTTTTTTTGTTTGGTTGTTTGGGCCACACCTGGCAGTGCTCAGGGATGACTTCCGGCTCTGCGCTCAGAGATCACTTCTGGCGGGGGTCAGGGGGCCCTAGGGAGTGCCGGGGATCAAACCAAACCTGACCTCAGCTGCATGCAAGGCAAGCAGCCCTACCTGCTGTACTATCTTTTTTAGCTTTTTGGGTCATACCCAGCAATGCTCAGTGGTTACTCCTGGCTCTGCACTCAGGAATTACTCCTGGCGGTGCTTGGGGGACCATATGGGATGCCGGGGATCGAACCCGGGTCGGCCGCGTGCAAGGCAAACGCCCTACCTGCTGTGCTATCGCTTCGGCCCTTGTACTGTCTTGATAACCCCAGTATGTGAAGCTTTTTTTTTTTCTTTTTGGGTCATACCCGGCGATGCTCAGGGGTTCCTCCTGGCTCTGCACTCAGGAATTACCCCTAGCAGTGCTCAGGGGACCATATGGGATGCTGGGAATCGAACCCCGGTCGGCCGCATGCAAGGCAAACGCCCTACCCGCTGTGCTATCGCTCCAGCCCCCTGAAGCATTTTTTTAAGAAGGTTATATCATATTTTATTTTTCTTCCCCCCCCCATTTTGTTTTTCGTTTTGGTTTTGGGACAACACCTGGCGATGCTCAGGGATTACTCGGTGCTCTGTGCTCAGGGACCACTCCTGGTGGGCTCAGGGAACCCTATAGGGTACCAGTATAGAATTCGGGTCCGCCACCTGTAAGGCAAGAGCTCAGCCCACTCTACTATCACTTGGGCCTCTGTGGCACTGTAGCACTGTCCTCCTGTTGTTCATTGATTTGCTCCAGCGGGCACCAGTAATGTCTCCATTGTGAGACTTGTTATTACTTTTTTTGGCATATCGAATACGTCACGGGGAGCTTGCCAGGCTTAACCGGGTGGTTGAGATACTCTTGGTAGCTTGCCGGGCTCTCCTAGAGGGGCGGAGGAATCGAACTCGGGTCAGGCGCGTGCAAGGCAAACGTCCTATCTGCTGTGCTATCGCTCTAGCCTCGGGCCTCTGTATAAATCATTAAACAACAACCACAACAACAAAATTTGTTTTTCGCTGATAGCTAAGTTGTCGTTTATAAAAAAAACAATTGTACTTGGGCCGCATCATGTGACGCTCAGGTACTACTCCTGGCTTAGTGCTCGGAGGTCCTTCCTGGTGGTGTCAGGGATCAGTCCCATGGGGATGCGTGGCCACAAGCAAGGCCCACGAAGCAGCGAATGGGTATCTATTCTCTGGATGTATTTCTAGGGCTAGAGCAATAGCACAGCGGTAGGGCGTTTGCCTTGCACGCAGCCGGCCCGGCCGAGCAGGGTTCGATTCCTCCGCCCCTCTTGAAGAGCCTGGCAAGCTACCGAGAGTATCTCACCCGCACGGCAAAGCCTGGCAAGCTCCCCGTGACGTATTCGAGATGCCAAACACAGGAACAACAAGTCTCACGATGGAGACGTTACTGGTGCCCGCTGGAGCAAATCCCCTCTTCTGTCCCAGAGCAAGTACCCCTACTCACTACTTCCAATTTATTTCAAAATAAGATATCTTTACTGACTTCCTTTTGGGGGGAGGTGCATGGTTTTCTGAGCTCATTGAAATTATAACTCATTCAGAGGCTATGTTTTTGCATCTATAAAATGTTATATGTGGCTCAGTGGGGGAAAAATAGCTTATAAATATCTTATAAATCCATCGATTTAGTTAAACCAGAAATTCTCCCATCCAGAGGGGAGAATTTCAAATGGCAAATCTGCTACGTGTGATTTAACATGAAAAAAGTGATAAATTATACTTTCTGTGTAAGTATAACAGCAGCACGGAAATGTGATATTTAAATTCGTCTTGGAGCTGTTGGAATGTGAGTACTATCAAGCCTTTTCTTTTTCTGCGTGCTTTGGGCTGAGAATATAAGACAGGACCAAGGTTTAGAGGAACTGAAAAATTCTTCCTGGCCTTTCCTGTGACCAAGTATGAAGAAAAAGCCTTCTCTACAATTCACAGATAAGATGAGGCCAGAGCGGGGCTGGAGCAATAGCACAGCGGGTAGGGCGTTTGCCTTGCACACGGACGACCCAGGTTCGATTCCCAGAATCCCATATGGTCCCCTGAGCACCGCCAGAAGTGATTCCTGAGTGCAAGAACCAGGAGTAACTCCTGTGCATCACCGGGTGTGACCCAAAACAACAACAACAACAAAAGATGAGGCCAGAGCAATAGAACGGTGGGAAGGGTGTTTGTCTTGCACGCAGCCCACCTGGGTTCGATTTCCAGCATCCTATATGGTCCCCTGGGCACCACCAGGGGTAATTCCTGAGTGCAGAGGCAGGATTCACCCCTGAGCATCACTGGGTGTGACCCAAAAGCAAAAACAAAAACAAAAACACAAACAAAACAAAAAGACCCCTAAAGCATACAGTTCACATATAAGATATGGGACTGGAGAGATAGATCAGTGGGTTGAGCTCAGACTTTGTATGCAGGAGGTTGGGGGTCTCTGATCTCTTGTCCCATCCTGTCCTCCAGGAGTGGGCCCTGAGTATCTCTAGTTGTGACTCCAAAGAAAAACTAAACAGAAAACAAGGACAGGATATAAAGGATCTCTAATCTCCTCCCACCCCACACACACATACCCAGTGGTGCTTGGGGGGCTGCCGGTGTGCCAGCTCTTTTAACTGTATCCCTGGCCCCAACAATCTCTCTGATTTGACATTAGAATCAAATTAGAGGACTTGGGAAGATGACTGAGAGCCAAGTGCATGCTAGACAAGCAAGCATGGCCCTGTTATCTCTCTGGTCTGGAGTGTGTCTGTTGCATGTTGTAACCAAATCCCCAGCACCACATAGTCCTGGAGCACTGCCCTGGGAGCAGCCCTGAGCACAACTGGGTGTGGTACCCAAGTCCCACAAACGCAGGAATCTGCTGTTGTAGCTAATCTGTTGGATTATTGCTACAACTTTTGATGTCGGATTTCCGGGGATGAAACTGCCAGTAACAGTACTTAATTGTTGCTGTTTGGGATGAAATTTTTTCCTTCCTTTATTTATTTTTTTTTCTTGAAGTGATGGAGGTTTCTTTTTTTTTCTTTTTCTTTTCTTTTTCTTGGTTGGGTTGTGTGTGTGTGTGGATGGGGGGGGGGGGTGGTATGTTGGGCCGCATCTGATTGTGCTCAAAGCTTATTTCTGGCTTCGTGTTCAAAGGGCTGGAGTGATAGCACAGCGGTAGGGCGCTTGCCTTGCATGCAGCCAGCCCGGCCGAGCCGGGTTCGATTCCTTTGTCCCTCTCAGAGAGCCCGGCAAGTTACCGAGAGTATTCAATATGCCAAACACAGTGATAACAACAACTGTGGAGGAGACATTACTGGGCCCGCTCGAGCAAATCGAATCGATGAACAACCGGAGGACAGTGACTCCTCAGCATTGTGACCTTGGGTTCCATCTATTTTGCCAAGAACGGGAAGCTTTCATCCTTTTTCTCTCTTTCTTCTGGGGTGGGAGGTGTTGTGCAGTGCTGGGGCATCCTGTAGTGTCAAGGATGAAAAGCAGCATTCTTTTTGTGTGTGTGTGTGCTTTTTTTTGGGTCACACCCGGCGATGCACAGGGGTTACTCCTGGCTCTGCGCTCAGGAATTACCCCTGGCGGTGCTCAGGGGGCCATATGGGATGCTGGGAATCGAACCCTGGTCGGCCGTGTGCAAGGCAAACGCCCTACCCGCTGTGCTATTGCTCCAGCCCCTCTCTTTCTTTCTTTCTTTCTTTCTTTCTTTCTTTCTTTCTTTCTTTCTTCTTTCTTTCTTCCTTCATTCCTTCCTTCCTTCCTCCCTCCCTCCCTCCCTCCTTCTTCCCTCTTTCTTTCTTTCTTTCTTTCTTTCTTTCTTTCTTTCTTTCTTTCTTTCTTTCTTCCTCCCTCCCTCCCTCCTTCTTTCCTCTTTCTTTCTTTCTTTCTTTCT